TCCTCGCAAACCGTCAACTTCGCCGCTCTTAGGGACGTTGTCCCACTACTGGTACACTTGTCTTATTCAACTTCTACCCCTGGAGGGTGGCTCACCTACCCGGGCGTCATTGTTCTAGGTCTCGCTCCATGAAAGACAAGAGTTGCCACGTTTTGGGTCTAGCGCAGGTGTCTGTTGCTGACGCGACTCGCCGTGTGCGGGTGGTGAGGGTTAGTGTGCGCGGGAGACTCCTGGGCAACGAAACGGATCCGGAGATGATCACATGCAAAGCTGGTGAGTGTCTTCTTCGGACCTTTGGCGCTCCGTTTATTGGATTTCGGGTGGCCTGGCTGGCACTCATCTTGGAACTAGTAATGGAAGGGGCCTCGGAGTTCCGATCATCACCATCGCCAGCGACGAAGCTGGTGGAAATGGCGTGTTCGGCGGAAGAGTCGTAAGATTCCCAAGCGTGCGTTTATTGTGCCCGATCGTACGAGAAATGAGCTCAGCCAGCCCTCAACGCCTCCACATCACACGTCGTCTTCCCCTGCATGTACGCCCCGAATATCACCGTCTCCTTTCTCGGGCTCGATTCTGGGCTCGTCTGGGCCGACGGGCTTGTCGCGTGGTCACCGGGGTCTATCAGGCCGGCCGTATCGTTCAGCATGGTCGCCGAGCTCTGGTGGCAGAGCGAAAAGGGGCCCGCCATCTCGAGGCAGTCGTCGTCGTCGGCGTGCGTGTCGACGGTTTCCGTGGTGATCTTGACCTCGCGCGTGACAAAGATGGCACCCATGCTGCTTTGTAGCACAGGCCAAAAGACGGGCAGCGAGGCGCAGATGGCGGCGATATCGATCTCGAGGATGGCGAGGGTCATCGGCAGCGGCGTGTACCACGTGACGTCGAGTGTGGGATATGTGCCGACCCGGGATCTCATCAGTTCGACGAGGCGCCAAATGGCTAACATCAGAACACTTTGTGCATTTGGGTCAGCGGGATGCAGTCCTACCTACCGTTGGTTCAAGAGCCCCCAACTTACAAGGTTCCTAGCGTGAACAAGCCGAGAACGCTTTTGCGAGATTTCTTGCTGGCTTCGTCGTTCAGATATAATGGTAGTGGTATGGCGAAGATGATGAAGTCCAGAAGCATGTTGCTGGTAGCATGAACTCCGTACAACCAGACCAAATCTTCCAAATTTCCCGACGCGAAACCCCAGCGAGCTTTCGTCGTTATGGTCCAATCCCAGTAGGCGGCAACGGGTACGCATGGAACCCATGCAAGGAAGGTATATACAGCACCCCACAATCCCGTGATGACCAGGACCGCGATGGTAAGGGCGCGGGATTTGGTGCCGCGCTCGAAGGTGCGAAGGTATTGTAGAAGGATGGCGACTTTGATGAAACTAGTAGAGGTGGGCAGGGTCCCATTGCAAATATAAAAAATCTGTTTCATGTGTCAGAGTCCGCGACTGAGGAAGGAAGCCGGAAGAGAAATCACCATCATGTAATTTGATATCTGCTTGGGGCTAAGGTAAAGCAGATGTTTTCCAAGCCCATGGTCGGTTGCTGAAGTCGTGTTGTATTAGTTGTTGTCCTCTTGGTGAATTAAGAGGACTTGGCGTACCTATGCAGGCCCCAATGGTCCCAACCGATATCGAGATCATCACAAGAACCAGAAAGAAGTCATCCCAGCCCCAGGCACGCACGACGAATATACGACACCATATCCTCAGTGACGCACATAATAACGTTAATATCTGCGTCGGCGGTTAAGTATGATGGCATAAACCGAAGACCCAGTCTGCTTTATAACTCACCAGGAATGTAATCACGACTCCAAGCAGTACTGGCTTATGGTTCAATGCCGGTGTGGGATCGTGAAGGTTGTCGGCTTTCCCTATTAGATCGAAATAGTTCGTCATGATGAGAAAAGCACGCCCGCGAGAAGAAAGCCGCTCAAGAGGTGGGACGAGACCACTTGCATATCAGTATGCCCTTTTGCTATCGCCGCAAGGTTCGGGTTGATTGTTGGCGGGGTTGCAAGCCTGACAATAGGGGTTACCAAGTCTTGAGGTCGAGTGCCGTATGGGATGACGAGTAGAAGTGGGAGGATTCGGGCCCTTATGGGATCACACAATGGAAATATCTGTCATGCTTTTTAGCAGATCAGTCCAGCCATCTGGTCGCATTCGACATGGCGCCACAAGCGCCTCAGAGCACAACTGTCGCGCGAAAACGACATCCTGGACGGCAGGTAGAAACACCAGGCGGATAGCTCTCTTCATTACAAATGTCTTGGCCTGACGGGCGCTCGCACGCGTGGCAAGATGGTCACATGGGTCCGAGAACCGTTTTAACTTGGCGAGGCCCTCAACTTCTCCTCGGGAGACGTGCCTAAACTCTACCTTTTGGCGTGCTGGGAAGAGATATTGACGCATGCGGAAATGGGCATAGACGGAAGGCCCCGTTACGCGGCCGCGTTGGGTTAGAACGGCTTTTGCTCAGCCGGAACATCGTCTCATGCTGACCGAGTAACCCACACTCCTGGGGAGGTGAGACACGCCCTCTTGTTCTTGCAAAGCGGCTGTGGGGTTCTGGAAGCTTGCGATGTGCATGTCTAGCTGCTGATCTCAGTGGATGCTTTCGGATGGGACCTCCTGTTGCGATACTCGATTCGTTTTTGTGGCTGTGGTGATAGAGGTCCACACGGCATGCGGATGCATGCAATGATTTGACATGACTCTCTCCTCGCCGTGATCATCGTTGCCGTGCATACCTTCCCTGAGACTTGAAGTGACGTCTCGCCTTGTCAACCGTTTCCCTTGTTTGTTGTAATAGCTCTCTGTGTCGTGGCTGACCCCTTGCGAGGTTCGTCCTTTCGTGCGGCTCCAAGGGTTCTTTGACTTTGACTGTTTCCTGCGAGGAATGCATGGTTTGATTGCGGGGTAAGAAGTTCACCATCTGGTCCCTAACCTCACGTTGACCATCCAAGACAGTGGACTACTAGTTGTGGCTTTGCAGCATTGACAGTGTATCTATTGACTTGTGGCGCGACAACCGGTTCGACGCTAGATAACTGACGGCCAGAAATCAAAAGCTGCAAGTTCGGGATGGAAAGTCTCCAAATACACGGGTTTGTCCGACGCCGCCTTGCTTGACCTGGAATATTGACGCAACTCACTTGGCTCTTTGGAGAAGACATTGATAATTTCCCTGAATACCGCACCGGTCATCATGTGGGGGTTCTCATTCGCATTGCTCTCGGTCAGCCAACTCGCCTTTGAAATGGTTAGCTTGGCATCAAACTTGGCAACGATAGTAGAACGTTTCAAAATCCAATTCTGTATATGTTTGTGATATCATACGCTCATATATACCCAGTGCATCCATGCTAGTCGGCCCCGCTCTATGACTACCGGCCCTCTAGTCCACGACATAGAATGGCCTTTGGTATGTTCCCGATCATATGTCCGAGGCCCGCCCAACCTTAACGAGCTATCGTGCAGGGCTCCTCGCTCTCGGAACGCACGCATGCTCAACCTCCAAAAGCCAAGCAACTCAACTGGAACCCGCAAGTTCCTCCTCAACCTTGTTGAGCTCATCCATCAGGTCGTGCACTGCCTTCTTCTGGTCTTCGCTCGCGGGCAAGTAAGGAGTCCGCGGTTGGAAAAGCCTCTCCTGGCCCTTCAACCCGGCGCGCGGCGCCGTGAAGACGGAGGCGGCGTACTTGACGGTCGCGATGCCCGACTTGGTAGCCTGCTCCGCGATGGCGGCCTTCTTGTGGAGCTCCAACGCCTCCTGGATCTTGCCCTCGGCGTGCAGCTTGTAGATCTGCACCGTCACGCGGGGGAAGACGTTGGCGAAGGCCGCGATGCAGCCTGCGCTGCCGGAGGCGAGGCCGCCGAGGAGGAAGTCGGACTGGCCGCCGTAGGTGGCGAACTTGTCAGCCGGCAGCTCGGCCGAAAGGCGGACAATCTTGGCGACGGCGCCGCACGTGAGCTTCACGCCGACGATGGTCTCGTGCTTCTTGGCCAGCTTGGCGATGGTGCTGCTGTCGAGGTCGATGCCGTTGCAGACGACGGGGAAGTTGTAGATGACGATGGGCAGAGGGGTCTTCTCGGCGACCTCGTTAAAGAAGCGGTCGATGACGGCGGGGGTGGTCTGCTTGCCGAAATAGGCGGGGGGCAGAACGAGCGCGGAGTCGGCGTCGTTGATGAGCTCGAGGACCTGCTTGACCGAGTGCATGCCGCAGCCGGCCATGATGGGGAAGTCGGGACCGGTCGCCTTCCGGGCGGTGGCGATAAGGGCCTTGCGCTCCTCGCGGGTCAGGAGAAACTGCTCAGCATTGGTGCCGAGGATGACGAGGCCGGCAAGGCCCGTCTTCGACAGGTAGGAATAGTACTTTGTTTGCGCCTCAAGGTCAAGCTCGTCGGTATCAGGGTTGAAGAGAGTCACTGCGGGGGCCCAAATGCCGCTGGGGGGAACCTTGGTGCGGGACATTATGACGGATTTATGCGAACGGACTAACGAGCTGACGCTGTGAGACGAGTATGATGGCGGGGTGGTTTCTGAATCTGAATGAGTTGTGGAAGACACGACAACGATCCAGGAAGACTTTATTCCCAGCAAATCGGCTATGCAGGCCGAGGCTGATTCCTCACAGAGTCGGGATTGTATCCGTTAGATAGGACAATCGTCAGATAACACGGGTTACTGTCGGATATCCGCACCGAATCTTGACCCAATTTCCCCGCATCCGAGGCCGAGACCGGCCGAGCATGGACAGGGGTATTTCCGGCCGTCGACCGAAGGTCCTTTTTTTCCACACCAGTACCTACTATTAATGAGCTGCGTGCACCTCAGCGCGCATGTAGTAGGCCATAGGCTAGCCGAGACCAGTAAGACGTAATGTTGCCAGTAGCTACGCAAAACCATGCGAATCCTACTTATCTAACACCCCAAGTCGAGAAATCTCTACAATAATTGCATAAATATAGCTTAACCTGCTGTGAGAGGAAACAAAAAGGCCCTGGCCAGGGATCGAACCTGGGACCTCTTCCATGCGAGTTGTTAGAGAACAGCCCTAAGGAAGAATCATACCGCTAGACCACCAGGGCTTGACGAGTTAAGAACTCACGATGTTCCGCTTGGATGGCGGGGCGATGCGGAGCTGGGTCATGTATCGATAGGAAAGTCTCTGGTCAGTCATAGTGTTTAGAGAAATCACTAGCCAAAGCCATAAGAATGCGGTTTCCAGGGAGCGCTGGAAGCGCTGGCGTCATGTGGTTGATATTGAACCCAGCGGTGGCCACCACGGTCCAGCCCTCCAGCTTGTCACTGTCAACATTTCGCGCTGCGTCAAAATCTTGTGGTATGAGACCTATTACAAGATGCGTTTGATCTTTAAAGTCCATGAGGGTGGCTATGTCGTTGTCAGGGACATTGTCTTCGAGACCATCTCTAATGGCATTCAACCTGGTGGTGGAGATTTGCCGATTAACCCCAGAGCAGGCAACATTCAAAGAAGCGAAGAGATACCCAGGTTGGAAAAGCTTCTCATCTATTCTAGTGCTATAGTACGTGTCTCAAGTGTTTTCTCTTCCCTTCGAACTCAGTGTGCTGCTCTAAGTACATGGTATTCTGAGTAACGCGTTGTGAAAAATAGCATATTGACTAGTAAATACCCTCTTGTACCGACATGTTTGGCTTGAACAATATTAAGTTGGGCTTGGAGTTCTTGTAATGACCACCATTCCCTCGTGGACCACGGTAATACTTCCAAGCCTTGCCCGTCTCGGTCAGCATATATCAGATCGCCAGTGTCAATAATGATCGCACATGAGCCACCACGTTGGTATTATCTCTCTTCCAAGTCCTCAAGGGCATCCCGCCGCCTGTGTCTTATCCTTTTGCCGTTCCTTCATCAGGCGACGCCGGTCGTGTATCGCTACGTTCCACTCTTTTACCACTTTGTACGCAACGAGTGCCCCAAGAGCTACAAGGACGCCGCAGGATACCAAAATCATCAGGACGCTGAACCAAAGAGCGGCATTGTCAGCGCGGCCGCCGTCACCTCCTTCTTTGCCCTCGTCAACCGAGATGATGACTTGCAATCCGCTCAGAACCACCGAGACGACGCCCATGACAAATAGAATGGGGACGTAGAATCGCGCCAGATACGGCCCATACTGGTACTCTACCCTCTGGAAGTGCGATTTCCGAAGCAAGAGGGGCGCGTAGAAGTTCAGTCGCGTTAGACGAATCTCCCCGTAGTTGTACCTCTGGGAAACCTCCCTGTCTTGGATGTCGGCAAGGCGCGAGGTAAAGTTGCAGAACTGCGTCCATGTAATATCGGCAGGGATGAGACTGAGGCTGGGATCCTGAGCGATGCGAAAATCAGATTCGTATTTGATCAGGTAGTAATAAGTCCGGATGAACCCAAGAGCCGCCCGCCGAATCCTGTCTTCATTTCCCTTCGACCCAGGTTCAGCACCAAGGTAGTCCCTCCAAAACGCATGCGAGCCAACGTATCGCGGCAGCGGCTTGATGAAGATTCGGTCGTTAATCCACACCAGATGGAGCTTCGGTTCCTCCGTCACAACGATTGTACGGCGCTTCACGATCTGGCGGTGAAGCGAGGAGATGTTCCGGCTGTCCTGCTTCGACATCCACCACAGCTTATCGGCCACTGCATCCAAATCGTCGTTGCAGAACTCGGTAGTCAAGAAATGGCGGACCTTTTCCTGGTCATCTAGACGGACCCGCGGGTGTCCGGGAACGTGATGAGCCGTGTCTCCCGCAACCCCCAAGCCCGGCAGCAACTGGTGATCTACTTCGAAGGGTGGGGTTTGGAGGTTCAACATGGTTATTTGTGTTGTAGAAGTCAACTTCATTTCCAACATCAGCGAGCCCTTTTGAGCTATCAGGCTGCAGCCTGCATATCACGTGTATGCAGTGCCACCTCACCTCACCTTGACCAGGGGGGTTTCCAGGCACCTATCCTGTCCTAAGACATGCTGGCGCCTAAGCTACCCAAAATGGCGATTTTTCCCCCTCGGTGCGAACTGCGCCATTGCGCGAAGCTCTTTGTGGGACGTCTTTTTCTCACACATGATTGACTTGCAGGGGTCTTTGCACACAAATGCTTTGGCGGCATTCTTTAATACGCTCAATGTCAATTTCAGTCTAATCAGTGTCTTTTATTTGAGTTTCTCTATTTCCCTGTCTATATATCTCCCTCATGGCCATCTCTGCCTCTGCACCCCTCCATCGTCGCCCGTCCAGATGTCTAAGGCAAAGCTGCCTCCCTTGACCAGGATAGAACAGCCAACAGCCCCATCGAGACCACATCCCCTGTTCCTTCATCTGCGTCCTCGCGCGGTGTCCTATCGTGTCCTCGATGAAGGCGCCTCTCGGTATCGCCAACCGTGTCGGGAACACCCTGGATAAATAGTGCTGCGTGGACGCCATGTGTGGTTTGTCATGCCAGAAGAACATGGGCGTCAGCGGTACCTTGGTCGTCGGATGCGACTGCGGAACGAATTCACGCTTCAGCTTGGCCGTCAAAGCCCGTAAATGCGGAAACTCTTGAACATGGGCGGACTCGGCATACTGCAGCATCCGGACTGACGGCAGGCAGATGTACTTCACGGGGCCCTCTTCATCTGCGTCGTTGGTCTCCATGACATCCAGCATGGGCGCCACAGGGACGTCGTGGACGAGTGTCCAGTCGTGCTGGTGTATCCAAACGTAAGGCGTCGCGGTTATCCTCAGAGCTGTCCGCACAGCCAACCCGAACCCCAACCTCTCCGATGGCTCGACGAAGGAAACCCGTCCGTCTTTCGTCCGGCTCACGGTGTACGTTGTGAAGTTTGTCGTGACGGACACGGCTCGGCCGCTGTAGCCGTATTCGGCTTCTCCTTGCTCTTGGATTAACTCATCCTTGCCGTCGGGTTGGTCATATACTCCCAACACCAGGTCTTTGACGTTCTCCTTGTATCTGAGATATGCCGCCGCTCCTTCCTCTGTGACTTGGCCTTTCTTCAACCGGGCGACCTCGCCAACGCGCTCAAAAGTGTCGAGGACAACGATGATGCGACAGGCCAGCAGATCACCGCAGCAGAGGCGGATAGATTGAAATACTGCATCTAGAAGCTCAGTGGAGGGGGCCGATGGCGTTGGCGACGTCGTGACGATGAGCGTCAGGGCATCAGAGAGCGGTGCCCGAGTTGTTGGCCCGGGGGTGGTGGACATAATGGCTTGGGTGTTGTTCATGAGTAAACGGGGAAATAATTTGCAAGTGAGGCCGAGTCACTGGAGGAGGTACGTACTCGTCGGAGTTAAGGCTCGGGGCCAAGTGGAACATTGGGCCGATGGGCGCCGGCCGGGCCCGGCAAGCGACCGAAAGTAATTGTATTTTATTGAGAAAAACCCAGGGCATGTACATGGACTTGACTTGATTCGCAGACACAGGTTCTGATTTGATTGTCTAAATCAAGTGGCAAGCTCGGGTGTCTTTCTGCGACTTTCATCCGTTGACAGCCAATCCCGGCCCGGATACGAAGCCCTGGCCCCGGAGACCCATTTTCGGGCCCGCATCCGCAAAAAAATGACACACCAAGTAAGTCGATGAAGAATTTTTCCAAAAGATTGACCAGCCTGGGGGTCGAACCCAGAATCTCCTGATACCCTACTCTATCGTAGATCGTAGTCAGACGCCTTGCCATTGGGCCAACCGGCCGTTTCGGTTTTCATCCATTACGGACGTTGTTGAGTGTCAGTACGCCGTTAGTCACTTATAGAGCAAATACTCCGACACCGTTACGGTCTTCCTCTTTCATTGCGAGACCGTGATAACCAGAACATGACAATGGACTGGACAACTCCGAACTGGCCAACTCTTTATCCCTTTTTAATAACTTATTAACTTAATAATGAACTTAAGATACTTAATAGAGTTTTCACAAAGACGTCTTTCCAGGACACCAGTGCTTGTGAAGACACTGACTCTCCAAATTTGAGCCGGGGGGCTTGCCAGCCCCCAGCTCACCAAACAAGAAGCAATAGCTTGCCTGGAATGATTGGATGGCCTCCAAATCAGCACAGCATCCGATTTAACCGCAAGCTAAAGGACGATTTCGCGGGCCCGTGATACGACCTGGCTGTGGGGTGGCTCCTTGGCGGTCGCCGTGGGTTCAGGGAGGTGGCGGATGAAGGTGTCTATCTTGGGGCGGGAGAGGAGCCTCGAGAAAAAAAACACGAGGTCCCAGAGGCAGCCTCGCTCGACCTGTTCGCGATGGTTTTCACGTTCTCTCGCCTCCTCATTTCGTGACGCAAAGGCGGAACGATTCGGGGCACACAGAAGGCGGCTGCCAAAAGGACGATGTGTCGACATCTAAGGATACTATCATGACTATCGGAGACTTTGTTTTATCTCTGTGGTAGCCAGAACGTAATATGTCAGTCGAATTCCATGCCATTTTCGATTGTACTTGGATTATTTCGGATCGGAGAGAACTCCCCTCGACGGCGATTCACTGGACTCACTCTGTTGAAGGCATGTTGAACCCGAGGCCCCGACACAGCAGCTTGCCCAACGACACAGTCCCGTTGCCCGCCGTTTGAAGCTTCCTTTCTCTATCTGTATCAGCCCTCCCCGCTTGCTGCCATCATACTCCGCCGCAGGCCAAGAGTATATTGCAAGGGGCTCTCTTATGGTGTTGTCGAAGCTCGAGTTCACTGCTTCGGCGTTTTTCGGCCGATCCGTGTTAACGCATAAAAAACCCGCCTCGAGAAATAACCTCCGGAAACTAGGGCGTGGAGAACATCTCGGTACAAGACAATTCATTGAAAGCCTCGGGGCTTCGGTATATCTCATCGACTTCCCAGCGCAGCAAGCATCCATCGTGGTCTGTACCCCATCATAGACTTTAAAAACAAAAACGTAGCTTCGGCATCAGCGTCACCCATTCAGGCCATTCACGAAAGTGTTTAATATAAAGGTATTAGAGTCACTTCTTGTAAACAGGTCTGATCGCAGGGGATGCAGCCCACCGTATAGATTTCCAGCCCCTTCTCAACCAGGTCAAACAGCAGGATGCTATACAAGTAAAGGATG